CTGTATGTGTTCTTAGGACCTGAACAGCAGGATATCAAAATGCACAGTATATATACAGCATAGTAGCAAGTCTGCAGCAGAGTAACCTCAAGTGAGCCAGCTGCTGGATACAGGTGGTAAATAGAACATGTACTCATGAAATATTTTATGGTTACCTAAATAAAAGTAAAACATTCTTTCTTTAATCTTTGTTTTAAGCTCTGAACATAGAAAATACATTTTAAATAACACCCATAGATTCCCTTTAAAGCAATGCTGTTTTAGTTGCTGGTGACTGAAAAAAAGATGGGAACAAAATGAAATCAAAAAAGTCAGAGACTGCCACCCAATGAAACCCAAAATACTGTGTACAGCTTTGGAGGTTTGGTTAAACACTAGTTCATTCCAAAAAAAAGCTAACAATACAAGAAAGGAAAAAAAAGGAGGTGCTTGGACCCGACCCAAAACATCTTCATGAGGTATACCAAACTTACTACAATGACGTTTGACTTTTTTCAATTCCTGTTTATCTTCTTTCCACAATATACTTTAATGTTCAGTGATCGTTTCTGCACCCTTGCATAAATTTATGGCGTTCTAGTATCTAACCATAATCCTCTTTATTGTTATAAGGAGAGATAAAACCCTAACATTGCACTCTTGTGGGATATGGTCGACTGGCAATCAGTTCAGACAACACTGGTCTAATGTACAGCATGAGGATTGTGTAGTCCTATCCACAAGGACCACAAATATGGCACAGAATTTCTACAGGACACAGCCACTCATGTGGTTGAGACTGCACAGTGCATTTATATGAAGAGTCCTGATTTAGGGTTGGTTCACACCATATCCAGTGCGTTCCAGCACGGTTTGTGCCCGGAACATACTGGATCGCATAAATCAAATCTCCCACGTTCTGGGGTGTGGTGGTGCCATTCATGTTAATGGAACACCTCTCATCTGCACCAGAATCCGTGATACGGCAATGCCCGCAGGGTACAGTGCACTGAGATGGCTAAAAATAGTGCATGCAAAAGTGCATGGTTTCCAGTGCGTTCCGGCACAGTTCGATATGGTGTGAACCAGCCCTGAGATAGATAGATAGATATATATAGCAATAGTATAAAAACAAATATTTTGAAGACAGACCATAAACTATGTAAATGGATTACATAACAGTGAAGGTTTAAAGTAGAATTAAACACCCTTCTTTTTTTGCATAGATCTTCAGTAGATATATGCAAAAACATAAAAAAAAAAAAGAAGAAGGTACTAGGGATGCACCAATACCAGTTTTTCGGTATCGAATTCCAATATTTGTTTCCAGTACGTGCCGATACCGGTGCCCGATTATCAGGAAGTCGGCTGGCGGATCATGGCCCGTCCCCAGCCTTCCTGATTGCCTAGGAAGCTAGTGTTCTAACAAAAGGACACTGGCTTCACTTGCCGAGGCTGCCTGACCAGGAAGCCGGGGCGGCCAGTCATGAGGTGCTGTCTGGCTCCCTGATTGGTCAGGAAGCCAGGCTGCCCAGCAACAAGTAAAGCCAGCTTCCCAGCCAATCAGGAAGCCGAGAGGCATAACCCACCGCCCGGCTTCCTGATTGGAAAGCAAGCCAACTCCATGCTCCCACGACACTGCCGGTCAGAGGAAGGTAAGTATCGGAGCATTTGGGTGAGTAGGAGTACTCACCCAAATACTCTGTATCAATACCGATACTAGTTACCAAATAGGTAATTACTTACCTGTGTCTCCAACGCTGTGGAGATCCGAGGATACTCAAGCGACCGTGAAGGACCAACGGGCGGGCGCATGCGCAGTAGAGATGCTCGGCCATGAGAAGAGAGACAAAGACACAGTGTAAGTCAATGCACGCAGCCAGGAGCGTGCACAGACTCGGCGGGACACAAAAGACAGCAGTCAGTGCTGGATCAGAGACCGACACCAGCGCTGGGGGGATTCCTGAAAACTACTGGAAAGAAAATGATCGGATTAAGAGGCAGCATTTAAGGTTAAGTCTTTAAAACGGCAGATTTTTTGGGGGGGCGGGGGTAGGAGAATGCGACTTTAATGTCACTTTAACTAGAACATGTTTCAGTTAGCGGTGCACATTTCCACGAATGCACTCAGTTGAAGCCCTGTTCACTGACTTTTAAAAAAAGAAGTAAAGCCTTTACTCTCTTTTGGGAGTAATTTAAAAAATGTTCTCCTGAGACCCAAAGTCACCATATAGCGGGCTACTGCCTGCTATATACTGACAGTGTAGAGCCGCACTGCAGCCGGGAAGGATCAGGACAATGGGGTAAATTCACAAAGCTCAGCGTTATGAGAGTAGAAGTTAATTTATCTATCCTTATTTTACCACTCATGTCAAGATCCACTCGGCTGTGTGATTGATAGCTGGCTCCGTTTCTCTAGAACCAGATGTGCCCGACCTTCCTGTTTGTCCTTTCATTGAGCACTGGGTGAACAGAGGGAGGTGGGGAAATCATTGTGAGGAGTCACCGTTCTCCGCAGGGTGGAGCTGTGTGATCAGCGCAATATAGAGCTGGAGTGTGACAGTTGCAATGTCCAACGCTGGCTCTAAGTATATATTTTACGCTCTCAGTACTTCTCCTTTAAAAAGGCAAATCCCAAGGCCGCTCCTTCTCACAGAGGATCAGGCATTTGAAAGATTACTGAAAGAAGGCAAGGCAAAAATCTCATCTTGGTGGAAAAGTGGAAGCCCTAGGATTTAAAGCGCTCCTCTTACCAACAAAACTAAGCCATTTAAAAGGGAACAGTTTTATCATCAAGAACATATTCTCTGCACACACTGAAATAAACGAACACATCACGCTCCACTTTTCTTTCATGTTTTCTATGGCAGGTACAGCAAACACAGAGAGGGGGATTGATCAAAATCTGGACAGATGTGCATGGCAACCAATCAGCTTCTCTCTTTCATTTTCAAATCTTTACTGAACAAACTGAAGAGAGAAGCTGATTGGCTGCCATAGGCAACTGGTCCAGATTCTGTCTGCTCCAGGTTTGATAAATTCCCCTCAGAAAATGTTTGTGCAAACAGAACAATTCTTTATGCCATCTTAAGCTGGCCATACACTGCTCATATGTTCAATTTTTGGCCCTTTCCTGCTGAATTGTCTAAAATTCGATCCATTGGTGTCCCAGTCACAACCCACCTCCCTCCTGATGACAAAGGATTATTTTCCAATCGACATCTGGCAAAGGAGCATGGCTGAACAGTATCTGCAATGAATCAGATGCAGACACTGTTCAAGTAGACAGCAGCCACTGCTGAATACAATAGCCAGCAGAGAAGATTCCATCATCAACACGGTTTAGCATGGGAGAACCAATGGATTTCGCTCATTGAGCCCTAGGGGCTGAACGATAGAAATTCACAACATGTACAGCCAGCTTTAGTTTTATCCCAAGTTTTTCTTTTTAATACAAAAATGAGAAGGCAGGAACTCTTACCCTACAGTGCCGAGTTCAATTTCAACTGCTCCGGTTTGCTTTTAGAGTGTAGAACATTAGCAGGATAATAAGCTACTGATTAGCGGCAGGCACTAAAAGAAAATATTTTATAGAGAAACATAGTGGTTGCTATTTCCTTCTTTTTCTGCAAATGCTAGTTACCTGGATGTAATGGCTACGGTCTGCTTTTATGACTATGTCACTGCCCTCAACAAGAATGCAGACAGGCAGTTCTTACCTTACCTGATGAAGGCTACCAATGCTGACCTTAATATAACATATTAGTAGATCAGTAAAGTCTACTTTATTGTGAACCTGTGCTTTGCTTATGTAGGACAAACAAGAGGACCACTTCAATGCCTACTTCCCTCCAGCTGCCCATACTTATATCTTCTCACCACCCTAACGAAAGCAAAGAGAAATAATCAGTACTTCCAGGTATGGAGAACATATGACTCACTCCTTTTTAGTCTGTCATGCAATGGTGGGTGCCTGAGCAACAAATCTCTGGACCAGGGGAAGCCAAATTCCAGGTCCTCCAGCTGCGGTGGAACTGCAAATCCCATGAGGCATCAGCCACAAACATGACTCCTGGAGAGAGATGCATCGTGCAATTTGTAGCTTCACCACTGCTGGAGGGCCAGAGTTTGGCTACCCCTGCTCTAGACACTAGTGCTGTTGTTGGGGTGAATACAGAGTGCTGGTGTGTTGGGACTGGTGTAATCTGCAGAGTTTATCAATAAGGGATGGTTTTAAGTGTACATTTTACTCTGTCACAGTGTCTGGGTGAAGAAAGGCGAGTTCTTAAAGCAGAACTGGGCACAAATGTTGATAACCCTCCCCCCCCCCCACACACTGCAAGGGTTAAATGCTCATATTTGGCTTGGTAACAAAACAAAAAGTTATACTCACCTGATCTTTGGAGCCAGCCGGCACTTAGACTTGTCCTTCCAGCCTCTCTCCCTCTCCACTGCAATGATAGAATGTTCCTCGGTGTCATCACATCCTATACGCTGTGCATAGAACATGATGGCTCATGGACCTTAGACCACTGCAGCCGGCCGGCTCAGAGGATCAGGTGAGTAGAACCTTTTCTTTTTTTAGCCCCATTGCAAGGGTTATTAAAACTTGTGCCTGGAGATTTGTTTTAAAGAGCTACATGTTTTACTCACAATGATATCTATTCTCTTTCCAAATACTTTAAAAATGTATCAAAGGGTTATAAAAAGGAACTTTCTATAATGTTGGAGGTTTCTGCAACCAATGCTGCTGGTTTTCACTGTGCTAGTTAATGCTCATCTGTGAGCACCTAAAAATCGTATGCTCCCAAACAAGCAACAACCAGCACTGTTTCCAACCATGTCTAGTGATGGCTGGAAACTTCTGCCTCATTTACTTATATATTGCATAGATCACTTTTCATTAAACTGGTTAATGCAGCTTGAAAGCGTCTGACACAAAAAGGTAACCAATTTGCTTATAAATAAAATGGGAAAATAAATGCATGGTTCAGCAAGGAAAAAAAAAACTAGATCAAAAGGATCGATTTTTTTATGATCTTAACGTATTGAATGTCCAAATGAAAGCAGAACTTTAAGTTAAAAAGTAATAAGACATACAAATGCTCATAAAATTGTTGGAGATAGGTGTTCCACCATATCTTCCAAATGTTCACAAACAGTCTCGGCAAATATGACTTGGGAGTTCTCTTCCGTACTCTCCTCAGAGGCTGTTGGAGGTGATGCAATAGAAGGCATGGTTTGCAAATGTTCACAGACAGTCTGAGCAAACATCTCTTGTGGATTCTCAGCAATAGTTTCTTGTGAGGCAGTTGTTATAGGGGGTGTAGTAGAAGTCTCTCTGTCCTGCTCCAATTTAGAATCAGATATGGGAAGCCCAGACACTGCAGTTTCATCAAGAAGAGATGACGTTTTAGTTGGACTGTGTGCTGGTAGGAAGGCTTGCCCGTCCAAACTTTCACCAAAAAATAATCCATCAAGTATGTCTGTGGAACTATCCAGATATTCATTAACTGACGGCAGATTGCAAGCTTTGGAATAAGGGCTTGCTGCTTCACAATCTCCGTCTATGGTGTTGACGGGTGTAGAGGGAGTTGGCAAGTCACTAAGCAGAGCCACATTAGACTCTACGCTGTCACTTTTACCAGGCCGTGTAACATCATTACTATTTGGCACACCAAGTCTCATCGAGGTGTCACTATCACTGTCAATCCTGATGACAACCGGAGAACTCTGTTCACGTCTGCGTTTCTTCTTGTGTTTCTTCTTTTTCTTTTTATGGCGTTTGGCGTCCTGTGTGCATTTCCCTTCGTACACTATTTCCACACTGGGGCTCCGTGTCTTTTTCCTCAATTTTAGCTTAGGTTCATTTGAAGATTTGGCCATCAAATTATCCTTGGACTCTCCTTGAGCGGTCTGCGTATGTTCCTCTTTTCCATTGGTGACTTCCGTCTCACACTTGCTTTTGTTTTGTGGTTCTAGATGTCGGGTTTTATATTTCCTCTTACCACCTGGTTTGTCAGATTGGGTTTGCAGAGCACAGGCTGTAGTAGCGCGACTGTTGGAACGGCTTCTTGATTGATAATTGCGCTTATCAACATTAGTCTCTCTCAGTTTCCTTGATTCTTTCCTTTGAGAGAAAGTCTGTAAATGGTAATCTGGACTGATGGAATATCTAGAGCAATCGCCTCTACCACTTGAATGTCGTTTATAAGATTTCTGAAACTCTTCTCTATCGCGGTTTCTGCTATAATATGTATACTCCCAATGATAAGTACTGCGATAGCTGTCTATGTTGTCATTGTCACGACTTTGGGACCTCCCCTTGCTGCGCTTTCTATTTCTCAAGTTGGATCCATTTAGCTCTCTGGAGCTTTCGCTTGACAAAGAAACCGTTCTGCTTCTCCAAGATGAACTTCTGTCTCTACTACGTGATCTCTTTCCTTCCCTCCAAATTTTATGCTTCTTTTCTCGAGTTTTAGTTCTTTGCTTGCTTTTAGTGTGCCATTTTTTGTGACCGTCACAGGCTTTATTTCGAGAAGAACGAGAATAACAATCGGAGCTCAAAGAGCGCTCCCTCCGTCTTGATGTGCCTTCATTGTAAGAATGTCTTTCATCCTTTTCATCTTTCCTGGATTCAAGCCATCTTCGAGATGCATCTGTTGGTCTTTTCTCTTTCTTCTTTTTTAAATGAGATTTGTCGCTGGATGTTTTAAGCTTTTGCTTAATTTTGGGTGATTGCTTATCACTTGATTGAGATGAAGCAGAGGAAGACCTATGTGATTCACTACTGTCATATAAAGTAAAAGGTGTTTCTTGGGGCTTTTTCGCTTGCTCAAGCTTCACTTCACAAAGGGAAGGTTCGGAATCAGAAGAGAGTTCAACTAATTCTGGGGTTCTTTCTGCAAGTGGTTTAACATAACCTACTATAATACAGTCATCAGTAGGAATGATCTGGCTCTGAATAACATCAGTAGTAGTGGTATTCAAATGAGGGGAATCCAGTCTACTACTTGAAGGTTCCTCATCTGAACTATCCACGGTAGTTAACACGCTACTAGTTGCCTGCTCCACTGTGGAGTAGGAAGGTCCAGGTGTTTCATCATCCCAGAGAGATTGTCCAACTTCAATGGAAGAGGAAGGCATATCAGGTTCCCCTGTATTAACCTCATCTGGGGATATAGTAATTACAGAAGATTCTGATTCACTACCTTCTTCATAGGAGGGTGCAGGACAATCGTAGTTGGCATGTTGGTCATATGCATCCATATTATAAGGGCAGCGGGCAAAATTGATGAACTCGTGAAGAAAGTGTTCTGTACGGTGAAGCAAGAAAGGCTGCAAATCCTCTAAAAAAGCTCGACTTTCCATGTCATATCGAGTAACGTTGCTCATGATGATGTGCTGTACAATGTTAACAAGGGAACCGTGTGTGCCAAATAAGACTGTCAATTCCCGTTTAAGCCAGGGCACAAGCCGATGAAGGCAAGCAGGATTTCTGCGGAAGAACTCAGCAGAAATATCACGATAGCGTCCACCATCCTGAATATTCCTGACATGCATTCCTGAGCGGTAAAGTGCTCGCCTGAAGTTGACGAGCTCCTGCTCTTGAATCTGCCTCATCGCCCTGCCCTCTGCACTGGCTTGCCGCCTGGAAGCTAGCCTTCTCATCATCTGTTGAATATTGCTGCCTCTTTGACGAGATGGTCTATTTGTATAACCCTCAAACAGAACGCCATTGTCTGTAGGCGAAAACGTTCTGTGTGCAGATGATCTTAATGTTCGCATGGGCAATTGACTGGGCAATTGATTTTCCCTCGTCATAGTAGTACGATAGCGAAACCTCTGCCCATCTGGACTACCAAAAGAGCCATTTAAAGTGGGCCTCAAAACGTATTCTTTGAAATCATCTTCGGCTCGGACACTATGAAATATAGAATGAAAGGGCTGCTTGCATAGGGGACATTCTGCTTTGTTTTTTGCCCATTCCTTTATACATTTAAAGCAAAACCTGTGGAGACATCGGTCCAAGTGTGATATGTTTTCAAAGCGGTCCAGACATATGGGACACTTTGAGTCAGGAGAAACATCTGCTGGGGATCCTTTATTGTGCGATTTCCTGGAGACAGCTTTAGAGCTGCTAGCTCCTATGAAGTCATCTGTTGACGTTGATTGCATCTGCAAAATGAAAAAGACATATGTAAACATTAGGATAAACGATGGGTTTATTTACTGAATACCTTACCTATATTTTTACAAGGTATTAATCTGCAAGCAATGTTAAAACTAACAGTGTTCACAAGAGTATAGAATTACCTCTGAAAACACTGGATGTACCAATGTAATAGCCGCAAACAGATTGTTCACTTCTCCTGCCTTCTCCAAACTCTTCACCCTTTAGTGCAGGGGGCCTCAAACTTTTTAAACAGGGGGCCAGTTCACTGTCCCTCAGACATTGTTGGGGGCCGAATAAGAAAAAAAAATATTATATAGAAGAAAAATAAATCAGATGATTTGTGAATTGATTTTCAAGTATCTGTCAGTGTAAAGGTCACAATTTATTAGGCAGCCTAAGACCTTTTTAGAAACGCTGATGAGTAAAGTCCCCGATAGACAGTTGACTAGTTGCTATGGGCAGCAAATTAAATAATTGTTCTCTGTAACTAGACAACCAGGACATATAATTGATTCAATATTATCCACAAAGGGTTAACAGCACTCTTTCTCAACTCTGCAGCAGTAGATCTCAGTGCCTGTACCTGCTCTCAATAGTAGTCCATGTCTGCCCTCTCTGTGCAGCAAGTAGCTTCTTCCTTCCGAGAGCCAAGCCTCGTTCTGAGGCTGCACTAGAGATCACATGGCCTTCCTCCAGGAGGCAAGTCTCACTATGAAATCTTATCTGAAAGGTTTACTCTGCTAGATAGAGCAGAGTAAACCTTTCCGGGATAAAATGCCTCTCTCGTGGGCGTCAGGGAGCTGCTATCTAATAGCGGGAGACCTCCTGAACGTCCGGGTGACTTGAGATCCCCGACGCCTATGGCAAGGGGCGTACGGCCGAGCGGGCCGGGTTAAGGACCCTGGCGGGCAGGTTCTGGCCTGCAAGCTGTAGTTTGAGGACCCCTGCTAGTGAATAACCCTGTGAATTCCTGATTTAGTGTCACTTTACATCTAGTCTGAAGACAAAGCTGACTATGTAACTAAGTGCATTACCACTAGGCGGCAGTACAATTCAGTTTTATACTTTCAATATAAAATGGTTTGTTATTGGTAGAAAATGCAAACATTCTTATTGTTTTAGTTATAGGAATAAAGTAAAATTGAATGACGTACAACATGGTATTAGGCATTTTTAAACAACCAATATGAACAATTATACAAAACTGGGGCCAACGACATTAAACATATTTCTTCATTTTGGATAGAGCGTGGAAGGCTTACAACCTCAGGTCAGGTTATAGTTCTAATCGGGGCTTTCACTTCCTGTTTTGGGAACATCTTTTTACCACATAGGTGTCTGTTGAATGTTTCAGTGGGCACACCTGTCTAAAAGGGGGCATTCCTTTCACTTCCTAGTGCATTATCAATACAGAAAGTGAAGACAAGTCTCGCCAACTGGAACACAGCAAATACAGTATAAAGTGACAGATTTTCCAACCTCTACTCTATCCAACACTACAAACTGGCTATACAAACATTTCAAAGGATAACAACTCAAGAACAAAGATGTAATATATGGCAGCTTATCCTTAGATGTGGTGGCTGCATTAGCTTTCTTTTTTCAGGTTAAGAACATTTTCTTCAAGTACACAAAATACATGTTGATTGGATCAGAAATACAGTGTCCTTGTCACTTACTGTTAGCTGAACTAAAATCTCAAACATTACCTTTGCAGCCATCTATCTTTGGTGACCTAGAGAACAACTACCTATGTAAAGGAGATGAGGAGAGAGAGATGTATGTAGTCCAAATCAGGAGTGCAGCCTAGGGAGACAATGCAGGTGCAAATATGAGGGGAAAAAAAATAAAGCCAATGCAGCCACCACATTTAAGGATTGCTAAGATGCAATATATTAAATTGTTGTTTTCGGGTTTAAATACACATGAAAGGTTATATAGGTCTTTTTTTGTGATTGACATTACATCTACTTTCAATCTGAACTCAGGGAAAGGTAAATATTGTAGAAATACAAGGGTCAGGTGCAATATTAAAAGGAGAATTATGGGGAGAGTGAAATACACTCATCCCAATAATCAGAGCCGACGTGGGATACTGAAGCTGTCATACGTCGGCTCTATTGATCAAGAACTGAACGATCACATACTGCCGATTGCTCAGTTCCTGATCATCTTCCTGCAGAGAGCAGTGACTTTCAGTCACCACTTCCCACAGAGATTCCCCCCTCCAGCGCAGACTGAAGGACAGACAGGAGAGGGGGAGGGCACAGCTGGCTCTGGCTCTAGAGAGGCAGAGCCAGCTGTCATTTAGAGATAGGGGTGGATCCTGGCAATATTTTCGGGGTCTGTCCCAGTTGCAGGGCAGCTCTGCACTGTCAGCATATAGCAGCAATAGTCTACCATATGCGGCGTTTTGGGTCACAAGAGTATATTAGCAAATGTCCTCTAGTGACCCTAAATAGAACTACGGCAAAAAAAAAAGATTAGGCCATATTTCTCTTTTACGTAGGCTATACACTTCAAGACCCAGACAAAATTCGCACAGTGGGTACACGTCGGCACTAGGGTTGCACCGATACCAAGTACAGTACTCGGTGCAAGTACGAGTACATGTACCGATACTTTTCAGCTCCAAGACTAGACTAGAGAAAAACTCAAAAATTAGGAGGCAGCTGTCATTTGTAAGGAGCACACTGAGCTCCTGGGATTTGTACATCTCTGTTTTAATGTACGATTTTGTTTTTATAAATATAAAAGGGATGCACCGATACCAGTTTTGCGAGTACGAGTACTGGTACTTGCCGAGTACTTACAAGTACGAGTACTGATACATTTTTGTTTATTGTCATGTGACAGTTTTTCTAAAACAATACAGACTAATGATTTCAGGACAGTGGTTGAGTGCCAGAGCCAGGTCCCAGCTGCAACCGCTGCAACCCTGGTAGTTCTCATGAAAATGCCAAGTATCGGCATTGGTACTCGAAAAGTATCTCTGCATCCCTGGTCAGCACCCTTCTGCCCCGGCATCCCTCGACCATTTCTGGGTATGACTGTTGAAGAAAATATTTGAATTAAAGTTTTGTGTTCAGAATTCACCTTTAAAGCGCCTCATATTGTAAAGCCCTGCACAAACTGTTGGCACTATATAAATCCTGTATAATAATATTAATAATAATAATCTGCAGGATGTGCAAGTATAAGGGTAAACAAGTGAAAAAGCTAAGAAGGTATAAAAAAAAATTAAATGGGTGGGAGTGAAGCTCCTGACCATACACTTATAGACTTATTTAATTCAGATAGCTGGCTGAATGAAAGAAATAACAGATTTCTAATGCATCTGTTGTATTCTGACATTCTTCTGCTGATGGTGCCAGAATAACCAAACAGTGACTGCATCTGATCGACTGCTGTCATTATTCAGTCAAAAATGTTCCACTTGGCATCGGTGACAAAACTAATTTTTAGTTCCAAGCTCGCTCCTGTGATGGGCTAAAATCTCCATACACATTACTAAACCAAACATGAGATTGTAGTCCATCACAGGAGTGAACTTGGAGCGGTGGCTACTTTACAACACACACAGGAAGCATGGAGAACAAAAGTAGGCAGTCTCCAGAAGGAAGGACAGTGCCAGCACCAATTCAGAGATGATTTGAGGATCTACAGCTGATTAATACACAAATAAGATACAGTTTTGTTAATAGTTGAGGTGCTTAAATGCATTTTTAAGATGTAACTCCTGAGTTTAGTGTCACTTTAAGCCAGGTGGTGCCAATAGGACCACCCACAAATCACATTTTGCCCTCGAGGTGCTTTTGAGTGCTAGAATGCTGCCTCTTGTATAACCCCAGGCACAGGTTCTGCTAAGTCATAGTGACACGGCGAGCGCGCACACACACCACATACGGACAGTGTAAATAATAGGGCACCAGTGATATGAATACATATAGACTTACCGTTGTCCCCGACTCCTCTTTTCTTCCCGTTCTCCGCCGCCTGCTCCTCTTCTCCCTCATAGTGACTTCTGTGTGTCCCAGCCACCACCACAAACTCTCATCACCGATCCAGCCTATTACACAACTAGCCACCGCTCTCCGCCCAACAAGGAAGACCGGGGCGCTGGGAACCTGTCATAGAGAAGAGCGCCAGACGCTGCCACAAACAACTGCACAGAGCGCCCGCCGCCCCCTGCAGGCGAGGAGGTAGATACGCACCGAAGTCGAGCTTCTGTACTATTCGGGTGCCCGGCGATAAGCAAGGGAGAATTACTGTAAATTGTTTAATAGTATAATGCCTCGAGTATATATATATATATATAACGACACATTAACAAAGTGTAATTAAGTGTTTTTTTTATGGAGGAACATTTCATGCCAGTAACAAAAATGGCCGCGATTCTTCTCCGGGAACCTTTAACCTTAACGTGTTCGGCTGTGTGTTGCCATACAGCGCAAAACATCAACACAGCCAGAACGAAGAGGTTGGAAGTACGGTGTGCTGGAATGATCATCCTTAGCCGCAGAGCCCAGGGGAGACTCCAGTCCTTGGTAAGACATGATGAACTCAGCTGTGTAACTAGAGGTCTTGTTTTATACATTCCATTCTGACACTTGTATGAGGGGAATAGATGGAACGACAGTGCGCTCTTTATTTACCAAGCTGTAAAATTCACAGGAGGCTAGGCTTTGGGCTTGTGTAGATGGGTAGATATAGCTTGCATTTGAGGTCATTCTAAAGGTGGCCATACACTTTACAACCATCGCAAGACCTTAGTCTGTAGTGTAAGGGCCTGTGTCTGACTAGATCTAACCGATTGATTGGATAGATTAGGTAGGTCCTCATATTACATGGTTTTATTAAATCTAAAGTTTATTGTACAAAAATTGTATGGTCAGGTATGGTGACCATAAGTACAACATACACCTGACAATCTGGCTATGCAATCTGTACAATCTTTTTTTAGATTTACCAAAACTATGTAATATAAGGACCTACCTAATCTGTTCAATCAATCCAATAATATGCCCCTTCCCAATCCTCTTACCTTTTGAGCTAACGATGCTTCTTCTCCATGGTTCCCGGTGTATGGGCAGCACACTGTGCGCAATATCACAGCCCTGTGCTAAGTAATTCAAATTACCCACGCAAATAGAGAGCATTCACTGGTCAGCGCAGTCACGTGACCACGCTGACCAATGAGAACCACTTCTTAGCAAGAAGTGCTTCTCGGCATGGTCAGCCCAGTCAGAAGTGCTTTTCGGCATGGTCAGGTAACCACCCTGACTAACGAGTGCTCGCCATTTGGGAGCATCATTTGAAATACATAGTGCAGGGTTGTGATGTTGTGCACGGACTGTACACCAGGACCGCGGAGGGGAAGCAGCGCTCATTCAAAGGTAAGAGGAGTGAGAGGGGGCAGATTGGTGGGGGGTAATGACATTTCCCAAATTTACCTGGGAAAATGGAATTGCCCTTTAAGATGCTTCTGACATCACTCACAGTTCATTGGAAGGGACACATGACCTGCAGTTCACCTCTTTCTGAGCTGCTGCTTTTGGGTTCCAATTGAAGGGCTCATTCATACCAGCTAGGCATGCTAAACGCACAAACAAAGTGTAATTAAGTGTTTTTTTTATGGAGGAACATTTCATGCCAGTAACAAAAATGGCCGCGATTCTTCTCCGGGAACCTTTAACCTTAACGTGTTCGGCTGTGTGTTGCCATACAGCGCAAAACATCAACACAGCCAGAACGAAGAGGTTGGAAGTACGGTGTGCTGGAATGATCATCCTTAGCCGCAGAGCCCAGGGGAGACTCCAGTCCTTGGTAAGACATGATGAACTCAGCTGTGTAACTAGAGGTCTTGTTTTATACATTCCATTCTGACACTTGTATGAGGGGAATAGATGGAACGACAGTGCGCTCTTTATTTACCAAGCTGTAAAATTCACAGGAGGCTAGGCTTTGGGCTTGTGTAGATGGGTAGATATAGCTTGCATTTGAGGTCATTCTAAAGGTGGCCATACACTTTACAACCATCGCAAGACCTTAGTCTGTAGTGTAAGGGCCTGTGTCTGACTAGATCTAACCGATTGATTGGATAGATTAGGTAGGTCCTCATATTACATGGTTTTATTAAATCTAAAGTTTATTGTACAAAAATTGTATGGTCAGGTATGGTGACCATAAGTACAACATACACCTGACAATCTGGCTATGCAATCTGTACAATCTTTTTTTAGATTTACCAAAACTATGTAATATAAGGACCTACCTAATCTGTTCAATCAATCCAATAATATGCCCCTTCCCAATCCTCTTACCTTTTGAGCTAACGATGCTTCTTCTCCATGGTTCCCGGTGTATGGGCAGCACACTGTGCGCAATATCACAGCCCTGTGCTAAGTAATTCAAATTACCCACGCAAATAGAGAGCATTCACTGGTCAGCGCAGTCACGTGACCACGCTGACCAATGAGAACCACTTCTTAGCAAGAAGTGCTTCTCGGCATGGTCAGCCCAGTCAGAAGTGCTTTTCGGCATGGTCAGGTAACCACCCTGACTAACGAGTGCTCGCCATTTGGGAGCATCATTTGAAATACATAGTGCAGGGTTGTGATGTTGTGCACGGACTGTACACCAGGACCGCGGAGGGGAAGCAGCGCTCATTCAAAGGTAAGAGGAGTGAGAGGGGGCAGATTGGTGGGGGGTAATGACATTTCCCAAATTTACCTGGGAAAATGGAATTGCCCTTTAAGATGCTTCTGACATCACTCACAGTTCATTGGAAGGGACACATGACCTGCAGTTCACCTCTTTCTGAGCTGCTGCTTTTGGGTTCCAATTGAAGGGCTCATTCATACCAGCTAGGCATGCTAAACGCACGGCAGCAGTTGTGCACTGGGTCACTTGGTCATGTTTTCAGCATTTGGCATATTGGGCGCACTCTACAAGTGTTCTATGAGTAGACCAATTACCCATGGCAGGTATTCAAGGCTGTCCACTTTTGCTTCAGTCACCACAGTAGTTTTCAATCTGTTGTTAATAGGGAGACAGTCAAATGGCTGGGGTGCCATTTAGAATGAATGTCACTGCTGCACCCCAACTCTTGTAACCTGCCCTGCCAGACATTGTGGTAATGCATGCATCATAGCAGCGCAAAGGTGCTAATGGGCCCTAAGTGATTCATATAGATAGTCAACCCTACTATCCAGGCTGTACTCCCATTCTCGATAAGACATTCAGAACAAGATCAAGTTGCAATAATGTAAACAGAGATGACCTCAAGGCCTACAGTTTAACACCTTCCAGCCAACCTAATACTTATATTGGCTCATTCTGTGCTAGGAGCATGCTCACCAGTCACAGTGTACCATCAGGAGCTTGCAGGACGGGCTCCTGATCATCTGAATACATTGACAGCCAATCACAGGGATCATGAGTTCAGGAAGCTCAACTCTGGTTCCCATCGTTCAGAACCTCCTAAAGGGCCAGCCCAAGGGGTTAAAGTTAAACCAACACTTTCAATGTCCTGTCCTGATAGAAAGCGAGATACATTTTTCTAAAGTGGTTACAATGTGCCCAATCTGCTCATCTCCTCCCCGATCCATGCTGCACTTATTTGTAATGTTGACCCTCACCTACCGGCCATGCTGGCCAGCACAACAGTCTGGGAACACAGCCCGGAAGGCCGTATAGCAGGGGTAGGCAAACACTGGTCCTCCAGCTGTAGTGAAACTACGAATCCCATTATGCATCCCCCAGGGGAAGTCATGCCTGTGGCTGTCAGAGTCTTGCAATGCCTCAAGGGATTTGTAGTTGTACAACAGCTGTATAGCAACATAATGGGGAATGGTGATTGGCCACATGACCACAATAACCAATGAGAGTCTTTTCTGTCTTTCTGGAAGAAAGGTTTAGAAGAGATTCTTGTTGGTGTTATGAGTTTGTTCACCTTTTTTTTTTTGTGAAAAGGTAAACTTTAAAGCCAAATAGGTCATGTCTTTACCCAAAACTAAGAGAGAAAAAAAGTTTTGGCTGGAGCTGGGTTTTTCAATTGTTATTAACTGGTTGTGAAATGTCAAGCTGGAAAGTATATGCACGTTATAAGGATCTAAATATGTGATTTTTTTTTTTTCCTCTAGGTTCTCTTCAGCATTGTGATAATTTCCTGGGGTTTTGTGCTATATGCTGCAAGACTTTCAGCTCTATGGCAGCTGCAGGCCAAATACCCAAATAAAATCTTAAGCTGACAGCACTAGGAGATTTGGGCGCCTGCTATCGTCACCTCTATTGTAGATGAGTGATAACGCGTGCTTCCATCACCTGACACGGCAATACGCTGACCATAAAAAAAGATTTGACTGAATCATGAACTACCAAGACTATAACATGGCATCCCTTTCACATATCCACAGAACTATGACTGGCCTAGCCCTATTCAATACAAAATGTCTCCTTCAATAAAACTGAGATCACAGGAGATAAGACATTTTTTACATCTTGTTGAACTGTGATATGGAAAAGACTGATCTAAATGTTTGTAAAATAAACCCATCCAAAAAACATTTCTATTTATTTATCTTTAAAATGTGTGATTTATTGGACATGGTATGGTAGGGGTTGCCATTATGTGTCACACCTGGCAACAGTTTTGGCAACCCAAAGGGTTTGTCTGTGTAGAATATCTGAATGGCATTTAGCTCAGTAGAATATTTTAGGAATACCATCCCTGAGCAGAAATAAACCAACAATGTTTTTTTGGCGACACTAAGGCCCGGTTCCCACCTTGGCGTTTTTCCGCGCTTTCGTACTCACGGAAAAACACTCAAACAGGGAAATGCCATTATTTTCAATGTGCATGGTTCCCATCTGGGCGTTTTTCCGCGAGTACAAACACGCGGGAAACTGCCCAAAGACGTACATGTACTTCTTTGGGGCGTTTTGGTCAGGTGTTTCCATTGGGAAACAGCCAACTAGCCCTCGGAAACGCGTTTGTCGCGTTTTTACCGCAAAACGCGCATATTCAATCCGCCTAGGTGTGAACCCAGCCTAAACTCAGGAGTTTAATCTTAAAAATGTGTATCACTCAGCTGTAGATCCTCAAATCATCTCTGAATTGGTGCTGACACTGTCCTTCCTT